GGTGCTGGGGAATTGAACCGCGGTCCCTGTGCTTTGCCAAGCTTGTTCCAAGTAGGTGCTTTAGACCACTGAGCCATCTCACCAGCCCCTAGTCTTCTACTTCTGAGACCAGGGACAGAGGAGGGAATATTCCCAGATGGGTGAGTCAGAATGTTGCATTTGCCAACTTATAGCCCAAGGAAACAGATTGTAATATGGTAAAGACCACATTCAGGCAAATGCCAGGACCCAAAGGAATACTGGTTAGTGCCTTGGAGCTACAAAGAATGAAAAAGGGCCATGGTTCAGGGAATTGGGCCTTATTTTAACATCTTTCAGGAGTGGAGCTTTGCCTCAACTTTAAGCAATAGGGAGGACTTGGAGTTCCCTAGAGTGAAGGTTACTCCTTCCTGACAAAGATGTAGATGACAACATATTGGATGCATCATAAAAGAAACACTAGCGAAGTAAACCACTATCTTCTTGGATAATCTAATTTAGTATCCTAATTTAGTATACCTTTTACACCTTCATCTATTAAGCCCTGGTTATGAGGAGTTTAAAGGAGAGCTATTGCTTGGCCATTATTAGCAAAAAGAGTAATTGGCAGATAACCAAAAGATGAATGGATAGACAAAATATACGTAAGTATAGAAATAGCACAGTAAATTCCATTATCTTATATAATTAATGTACATTAATACTTATGATAAAAACTGAGTAATTGGGGTTTGGGGAGATAGCTCTGTGGCCTGAACACCTGCCTGGCAAGTGCAAGGACCCAAGTCTGATATCTAGTACCACATGCCCTGCTGGCCTCAGAACTCCAGGCTCTATGCTGACTCCCAAGATTGGGAAGAGTGGTGTACACCTGTAATCTGGTGCTGGGTAGGTGAAACAGGAGAATCACTACAAGGTCAAGCTGTGCAGTTAAACCCTGTACCAAATAAATAAATAGATAAATAAACAAACAAATAGATAAAAATTTAAAAAGACCTGAGTAATTGGCACAGAGAAGCGGAAGCACATGGAAGGTATCATTAAAATGGGGACATACAGTGCCTCCCCCACCCCGCCAGCCGAGTTCGATTTTCTGCCGAGTTCCGGGAGCCCCCAGACCCAGTCCTAGCCCAGGTTCGGAATTTCTGCCGACTACC